CTAGAGAAATCAAAGAAAAACAAGGAAGTATTTTTACAGTTTTCCCCCCATTTACTTGCATGTTTAGAGGAGTTCTAGAGTAGCAAGATCTTGAAAGCATAAGTAAACCAAACCCCAATATTTCTCCACACCAAGAATGCACTCTTGAGCTCCTGCTAAACTGGCATTGCAGTCTGACTTTGGAGGAGTAAAACAAGTGTAAGGAACAGACTCCCAGGTATTGATGTTCCAACTACAGTGCTAGTGAAATATAGAGAACAAAATTCAACAGAATAATTTGTCATGATTGTATTTCATCCTGTAAATTGGTAAGATACAATGCACCATTTATAGAAAACCTACATAGAAGACCTAATTCTTCTATTTCACTTCTCTCCTAGCTACAAAAATGCCCAAGTAAATTGTGTTGCACAATGTGGTAGGATAGTGTCCCTCCACGTTTTCATCCTCATATTTGAACCTACTCTATGAATTAGTGTCATTACAGCCTTCTCAAGATAAAAAGAAGAAAGGTATTCCAGGAGCCAAGATGGATGATCTGGTAACTAGATCACTGGGTAAAGGTGTCCTATTCCAGCACCTCCAGTTGTCACGGTGAAAGCAATACAAAATGATTTAAAAAAATCTTGCTCAGTATAAAACCAGTAACTAGGATTCCAGGTTTTAATCTGTATTCTCCAGTTATGAAGAAATGAAAAGGGTGAGGGTAGAGGAGCAAATATGGCAATAAAGCCATAAGCAATCCAGTGTGGGTTGCTCCTCTGACTAAAAGCAGCAACATTCTCCCAAAGGCTCACATCCCCATGTGGCTACCTTAGCTCTTCTGTTGCTGCCTTACAACATCGATGGGCAGAAAAATTCAGCTTTTTGTGAGAAATAACAGAGGTAATGGATGTACTGCCAGGCCTCCCTGCTGTGGCAATTTGGAGAGGATGATGCATTACACACCATCTTATTTGCTGTTGTGATGAGCTTCAGACATGTACCATTATTTATTACATGATACTGAGAAAATAATGCATGTTACCAATTCTGTTGAAGAGAGATTACAATAATAGAAATGAACATGGAGAAGAAGAGATGCAGACAGTTCTTACTGTGAGTCTCAATAAATAAATGAAACAGAGAAGATAAAAGCTTAACACCAAAAATTACTTATGAAGAATACTCTGCACCACAGAATTTTAATTAGGAAAAATAAAATAAATTTAAAAAGTCAACCTAAACTCCCCAAACCGTGCAAAAAAGAAGTATCCACACTTTCAAAAAACCTCACATTTTAACACTGTAAGTTACTAGCAGAAAGAGAACAGTTAAACTGATCCAACAACCACAGGTCCAGAAGAATAAATCTAGCAGATTGAAGAGACAGAACACAGAATCATATACAGCTCCCTTCAGTCATCTACCCACCAAACATGGCTCACTCATTTTCAATTTGGCACAGATATTCTCAGATTCAAAAGACATGCAATAAAGATGACTGACAGGAGCCATCCTTCCAACCATGAAGTCTCAGCATATCTAAAAAGATGTCTTTGCCCATCAACCAACATGTACATTAAGATTAATCTGTCTCCACAGTGGATCTCCACAGAAGAGAAGCTTTGCACAGAGAGGGGCAGTCTAGTGCTCTTCTGTGGTGATTGAATTTGGTATTTTCAGAATAGTAGTTAAGGCTTTAGTTGTCTTCAGTTCCTTTGAAAAATCCCTGTCCCAAGCCATAGTCTGATTACTGTAACCCGCTTTTTATCTGTTGCATCCAACATTATGTAATGAAAAAATATGACAGCCAAGAACCAAGGCTATTGCTCTCCAACACATCTTGGTTTTCATTTCTTTCCTTATCCTACCACAGTGCACAGTGCAGAAATAAAATCCGGTGAATCATACCACATTGTACCTTTCTGATCCACAGCTACACCTGTTCTCCATACAAATTTAGCTCTCAGTAGGAAGAAAGCTAGCTCTCTTAACATTTCTGTTTAGAAGTCAAACCATGTATCATTTGTACACAATCTATGCTTCAGCTTCACGGAAAAAAAAAAAATCTGTGAAAGAATAGATTATATTCAAGCTGTGTTGTAACGCAAAATTTACCAAGTCTGAGATGGTCTATTCAAACAGCCTTTATCTATGTGACTAGGGATCCAAAAGGCAATGATTGGTCTCATCCCTGGCAAGCACGCAAGCAAGCATGATTGCTTAATCTCAGGCTGCTTTAATCCCAGGAAAGATGAAGTCTGCAAACCAAGCTTGCAGAGACAGGCATGACTTATTTATTGAGGATAAGGAGTCCGGGGAAATCAGGTGTGCTTCATAGTAAGGATGAGCTACTCTTGAATCAGTTCTTATCTACATAGTTACACAGAATTTGTTTTCTTGTATATATTTCCTAACAGCAAGAACACAGTCTTTATTTGAAGAGGCCAAGCGTTCGCACTCAGATTTTGTATATTAGCTGTACTACACAGGATAGTGTAAACTAGGTATACAATACTATCAGCTGTTAACTTGAGCTGCTTATTAAAGGAAATTTTTAGTGTATATCTCACTAAAATGATTTTCCAGTACCAAAATTTGGATAGTACATAAAATAAATAATCCTAACTTTAGGCTACATCAACAAAAGATTAAAGACATGTTAAAGCCTAAGGAGCTTAAATTCTGCTTGTCACAGCCTGAAACCTATATGAACTCCTCTTTATGCATCAAAGCCTTCCAGGGGCCTCAAATCCCTTTTGAGGGCATAGAATCATAGAATAGTTTGGTTTAGAAGGGACCTTTAAAAGCCACCTACTTCAACACCCCCTCCAACGAGCAGGAACATCTTCAATTAGATCAGATTGCTTAGACCCCAGTCAAACATGACCTTGAAAGTTTCTAGAGATGGGGCATCTACCACCTCACTGAGCAACCTGTTCCAGTGCTTTGCCACTCTCACTGCAAAAAATTTATTCCTTATACCTAATCTAAATCTACCCTCTTTTACTTTGAAACCACTACCCCTTTTCCTACCACAACAGTCCACAGTAAACAGTTTTTCCCTGTTTTCTGTGGACTCTTTAGGTACTGACTGTACCTGGCTGTAATCAGGAGCCTTCTTTTCTCCAGGCTCAACAATCCCAACTCACTCAGCTTTCCCATGTAGGAGAGGTGCTCCAGCCCTCTGATCCTCTTTGTGCCCTTCCTCTGGACTTGCTCCAGCAAGTCCATGTCCTTCCTGTGCTGGGAGCATCCTGAGCTGGATGCAGTACTCCATGTCCACCATTGTCCAAATCCTGTGGCTGCAATGTCTATCTCAAAATGAAATATCCATCAAGTTCAAAATAAATTGGTATACCTTTACCAGTTTGTAAGAATATGCATTACTGGATTAGGAAAGGGAATATTTAATATAGAGTCTACATTTAAAGACACGATGAGTAGAGAAGCCATATTGATCTTTAAACAGCACCATTCATCACTGGGCTTCTCTCTCCTCAACCACAGATGTCAGAGACCCATTTCCCTCTCATGAGATTTTTGCATAGATATGCTTATCTTAATGGCTCTTACTACAGAACCGTAATTTATACTGGGGTTCTGAACAAGTAGGAAGGCATCTACCGCAGTTGTCCATGTTCATGCCAAATGCTGACCACTAACAGGCAGAAAGCAGTGCAGCAACACTTCTAGCAGATACCTGCAGATGTTGCACTAAAAGACTAAGCAGCACTGCAAGATCTGAATGCAGAAAATAAAAAACGACTTTGAGCCCTCCTTCACGAACACCTTCAAATAGTTCTGTACTGACAGTATCAATTTCATCTACAAGTTTCTTGCATTTGCTCTTAGAAGCTCACATACTTTTGTCTTGCATTGAGCAGCAGTTACCAAATGAAGGTGTCTCTCCAAGGGAATGTGCTCTGATAGTCATAGTTCAGCCAGAATCACACTGAGGTGGTGTCAGCATGGCTTTGCCAGCTTCAGCAGTTACTGTAGCCAAACCAGTGATGCCTTAAGATTTTTAGCTTTTTGTAGATTTTAATGGAGCTGTACAGTCTCTCACACTTTAGAGTAGTAAACACTTACCAAACTCTATTCCTCCATTTCATATAGAATTTTCTAAATTCTTTAGGCTTGTTTAGGCTGAAGACTGAAGACTTTCAAGGCAGGACTACAGTAAATACATTCTGTTTAAGAACATATGCACCCCAGACCTGAACAACAAGATACTATCATGGTCAAAGCAACCTTCAAGCCCGGAATCTTGGAGAAGCTCCAAAGACAGTACATGCTGTGAAGAAGAGGACGATGAGGAAGAAAGGGGTATTGGGACTTCCAACTCAATTTCCAGGGAGGCATACCAGGGGGTAGATCATAAATTGTGGAACCCCTGGAGACAGGGGCATGCACCCTTTCTTACTCCTTGAGCCAGAGGGCCTTTGTTAAAGACCTGTTCTCTTTCTTATCTCTACTAAATTAGCCTGGTGAGTTTTTTTGCTCCCAATTTTTAAACAACACCAGAGATGCTTGGTTTATGATTTAGGTACATTTATTAACACTTTGTAAACAGGAGAAAAAGTGGAAGATACACATTGATATTAAGATTTGTGATCATAGAATGACTGAGGTTGGAAGGCACCTCTGGAGGCCATATGGTACAACCTCCCCTGCTCAAGCAAAGCCACCTACAGCCAGTTGCCCAGGACCATGCCCAGAGTTTTTGAATATATCCAATGGTGGAGAGTCCACAACCTCTCTGGCCAACCTCTTGTCAGTGCTCAGTCATCCTAAGAGTAAGACAGTGGTTCCTGATGTTCAGAGGAAAGCTCTTGTCTTTCTGTTTGTATACATTGCCTTCATCCTGTCACTAGGCATCACTGAAAAGACCCTGGTTCCATCTTCTTTGCACACTCCCTTCAGTGTTTATACACATTGATGAGACTCCTCTGAGCTGCTTCTTCCCCAGGATGAACAGACCCAGCTCTCTCAGCGTTTCCTCACAGGAGAGATGCTCCAGTTCATCATCTTCATGTCCCTTTCCTGTAGCCCCATCCATTTCTTGTGGTGGGGAGCCCAGAAGTGGACACAACACTACTGGTGTAATGCAAATTACAAGGTAAAACTTTACACTTAAAATACAAGTAAGGGAAAAAAAACACAAGGAAGCACAAAATCGAGAAATCTAGGAAAGAAAACATCTAAATAACCAAAAGTGTAGAGAAGCAATACATTGCTATCAAACCTCAAAACCCCAGCAAACCAGCAGAATCCAGATGTAGAAATGTGTTAAGTTAGCATTATATTCTGGGTATTTGTCCATGAATGTTCTTTATTTCATTAGTCTTTGCTTTTCTACAAGTGAATGGTGAAAAGATACACACCTGGCATGACACCATTATGCTCAATTCCTCATGTGATGACAGTTCCTCACAGTGCTCCAACGGCAGCAGCTTTTGACCAGCAGCAAGATGCACCAGTCAACTTAAAGTGAAGGATATTACCCTTCTCCTACAACTGCTAATCTCTCTGATTTGCTTCCACAGTAGTGTTCACAGAAAATAGAACAAATCAACAAGAACATAACAATGCAAAGAAGCATCAAACAAAATGCAGGGAATCTATTTTATGGCTGTCTTAATTTCCCTTTAAATTATGCTAGTATAGGACAAGGAACAGAAACAATTTAACATCTCTGTAACTGGAGTGAAAGAAAACTGAGCTTACATTGGTATTGCTTTGTTTAAGGTACAGAAGAGCTCTGTTGGACTTGGGGCATAGAAGAACTGAGGGTGTAAACCTTAGCTCACTGCAGACTTACTAAGCCAACTTTGGGCAAGTTACCATTTCTACATCAGTGAAATGGAGACAGGACTTCTCTGCCTTATAGGCAAGACTGAAATTAATCTCTATAAACTGCCTGAACAGTCAGGAGTTTTATATTAAATATTAAAATTAATATAAAGATTTTTAAGTAGGTAAAATGTAAAAGAAAAAAAAAACCCCTTCCACTAACAAATTCCGAGCTATTACCTAAACCATATATAAAATCCCTCCAGAAAAAAGTATTAATCCATTTAATTACTTCCTTAACTTGTGAAGTTTACTTATTATTTCCTGCCCTCCAGAGTATACATGCAATTTTATACCTCTTTTCAGAACAGTAAACAACTCAAAAAGTTTCCATGACTGAACAAGCAGCGGTCAAACATGAGACAAGGGCTTGTTTCTGCCTGGGAGCATGGGAGGCAGAAAAAAAAAAAGAAACAATTAAAGACACACCAGGTTAGTATGGAAGGCACTTATTAAAGAAAAAAAGAGCACTTGCAATAATTTATTTCCTCTTCCCTTAGTACTCAAAGGCAAGCAAGGGAGAAGAGAGATTTTCTTGGAAGATGGAATGAGGTCAAGGAGTTAACTCATACGTGTACTCATCAAGACCTTTCCAAAAATAACGGAATGTATGAAAGGAAAGATTTTTTTCATGGAGAAAAGAGGATTTAAAAGAATCATCCAGATGGTTATGACTGATATGAAATAGAAAGTATGGAATGTGACCAACCTGCAATAATATGATGCAAGCCCTTAAATGCAGGGATATAAACCTGAAACAATGCACAGTGCATAAACACAGCATGCTAAAAAGGGAGTTAAAGTAAGAAAGACAAGCAAGGAAGTAAGGAAGACAAGTAGGAATGATGTATGCCTAAGTTTAACTTAAAATGTCTGGTAAGTTCAAAGCACAGGAGTGTTAACACAAGATTACAAAAACCAGTTTAATGCAGTATCAGAAAATGGTGTAGTTTTGGGGAGCAGGGGTGCAGGCTCAGGGCATTAGTCCTCTCACACATGTATTCAGGTACCTGAATAATTAGCAGTTCTAGTGATACTGACATACTGAATGAAGAAATAATGAAGAAATCTACTGCACAGTCAATTACCTTGTTACTGAAGTGTGCTAAATAAATGCAAAAATGTAATGTGAAAGCAACTGCAAATGCATGCTAATTTAAGAAAAGAGGCAGAAGTAGAGGGTGTCACAGAGGTAGATTGCTGACATCAATGGAGACCCTGGTCAGACTTAAATTTTACTGTGAATTTCAATGCCATTATAACTAATTTTTACATTGTACATTTTTTTGTAGAGAGGAGAAAGTTGTGTAGCATAAGAATAAGCAGCAACTATTTCACATTATATTTACTTAATAAATCTTCTGGTAAGAGAAATGAATGTATTTTTCTGTGGTTTCATCATGCTTACTGTAAAGAGTCCAAGAGCCAATGAGTATAAAATGGAATAGTTATTGTTACCAGGAAGGGTTAAACAACACCTCAATATAACTGCTCTTACACAAAAAATAAAGACTTAACAGTTATTTTGTGGACAAGCCCTTATTCATATTTCACAGACACAAAACCAACATACATATACAGTACAGAAGAGTCTAAACCAAAATTTTGTAATAAGAACACTTGTAGTTTTGTAAGGTTCTCTTCCTTGCATGCACTATGAAGCCTGTTAAAAAAACCCCACAAACAGCATTTCACTGAAATGAAGGTTTTCTTAATAAAAGCATGAAACTGCACAGACCATGACAGGTGGCAAATTATGAACTATTCTCACTTGTGTCTGCATTTTCTTTATCACACATATTGTTGATTTGCAAGTACTAGACTCACACCTATGAAAATAAAGAGCTGACTCTTAAATTGACTATTAACAGTAAACTTACAATATTCATTTGTGTATAAAAATAATTTTTAAAGTACACCTGTAAAACAAAACATACATTTCTACAGTTAAGAAAATTAATAAAAAAATAAATCAAAACTTCCCCTAACGTGAGCTTCATTAACTCAATCTCGTATACAATGGAGAATAAGTTAAAAGGTGAATTATTGTGAAAGCTGTGTTCTCCAGGGAGAGAAAATGGAGACAAAACTGGATTATATAAACTGCTTGGAAACTTACATATGGCATTTGATTTCTGGTCAGAAACTTTGTGACTTCTCACCTATTTAAATAAAACAGATGCCAAATGAATTATATTTTCTATGACTTTCTGCATGTATGGTAGCTTTCACATAGTTTGTTTTCCTGAAGTTCAATAAAGTTTAGCGACAGAGTTTACAGATGGCAGAACTGAGACTGTAAAATTACCTTACCCTCACTGGAAAGAGCAACTTCATGTCGTGAAAAGAATACAAGGGAATGTAAGAGTTCATAAATATTACGCAGAAAGAAGTGTATCAATCCACTTGACCTGGTCAAATGCACTCTTACACCAAATCTGAAATTGTAAAACTTTATCGTACCTTACCATAAAACTTTGGCTGTAACATGAAAATGGAAGGTCACAGCAGGCCATCCTTCTCTTTCAAGGTGTATCTGTTCATCAAATTCGCACCTCTCTACCTTATCCAGGACACAATCAATCATGCAGCAGCTGGGATTTCAAGAAACAATATTGTCACGTGCAATAAATTCTCCCAACTTGGCAACAGTGGGTTTGCACGCATCGAAGGGCTTTGCCGACACACTGGAGTAGCTTGAGTGCTGGAGACAGTGCAGTGATGTTAGCACAGCGCTTCACTTGTTCATTCCACGTGCTAAGATGGCTAAGATGTTATTCCATGTTCGACTCCATAACATACTCAATATGGCACATGCTAGCTACCAACTTAATAAGCAAAATTTAAGGCACATTTTGTGTCTGTGCTTTGATTACAAGCTCCTTGGAAGAGAAATTCTTCCTAAGTGTCTGAAAAACATTTTGCTCATTTTGAATACTGTCATCAACTAGTAGTTTGATAGAAGGCAATCCTGTGAGATATTTCAATTCTTTGTATGTTCTTTCTGACTTTATGTTTCTATTATCCAATTTCCTTCTGTCTAAGTTGAAAGAACATACACCAAGATGCATTTAAGGGACACTGCAACAAAAAAACCCATGACCACATAAGAACAATGATTTGTAAGGTGATTAGTATTTTTAAAGTGCTTTGTTAAATATATAAAATGAAAGATGGCAAATGATTCTAAAGCAAGTTGAATATGAAAGTAAGAGAGATAAATGGACTTATTCTTCCTAAATTCATTATGAAGAAGACAGACTGGTAGTACACTGTCTCCTCCTGTCATTAAAGAAAGAAAACTGTAATCTGTACCCTAATCCTCTTAACTTCATCAGAAGACCACATAAACACAATACATATTCCAAACACATTAGCAGATGCTGATACTTTTTACTCCAATATTGAAATTGAAGTATTTCAATTTGATTATACTAATTTAAAGAGAACTTCCATGTCTCTTTACACCACTACGATACAGAGGGCCATAGGCCACTAAAATTTTTGTATTTCACCACAGAATAAGCAAATAACAGTTTCTTACACCACTGTTTCAATCACATTTTTTTTCATTCTTTGTTCTCATCCTATTCAGGCCTAAAAGTCCTTTCCCCCCTTACCAAAGTGTGGGTGTTGACTAAACAAACTCTGTCTCAGTTTTGTTACTTGCAAGCAATAGTCAAACGGACTGACACTAAGATTTCCATAAAAATTTCAATTATTACAATAAATACCAAGTTCTGTGATGATCTAAACAATAAATTAAAAAAAAAAAAACACCAACATTTTTATTTAAAATGTAAAAGAGTGACAACATACCATGTTCTAAACCTTCCACCTTTAAAATCGCAATTTGGTCGACCAGTTGGTGATTAGGTTCCATTAAAATGGCTCCATTTAAATTACATTTAAATTACTCCACCTAGACAATTAACAAAGAACCACTAATCTCAGATCAGCCACATGGCCAATATTATTAAAATGCCCAGACTAGTCTTCTACAGTGTCCCACTTGAGTGCAGCTTCTCAGCAGTTTGCCAGGAGCTGCTGTCCTTCATTGCCTGATAAAGCCATCTGACCATGGCCTACAACACCTTTTACGATGAATTCAAGTGCTCTGAAGAAAGGGCTCACAAAAGTGTGCATTTACAGCAATCTGTAAGGAGACAATATGCCTTCAGCTCCTTTGGTTTTAATAATGTTCCCTTTGGAAAGTGAATCAGTTGAAGACTGTTCCAATAAAATAGGAAGTCAAAGTCTAGACAAGGCATAAACCGCTGTCTATACAGTTTGTGACAACGTCCTTGTTTTTCTCTCTTCCACAGTTTTTTTCCAAAGACCATGCAGTGAAGGCAGTTTGATTTTATCCATATTCTTACTGTAAACATTAAGAAATATACCAAGGACAACAAGTAAGCCTGACCACACGTACCTAAAGGAGAGGGAGAGGACGGAAAAAAGTTACCATTAGCACTTATCTGTAGCAATTACATATCAATATATGTGGATTAAATAAATCCCCTACATTAGGGAGAGGAGAGTTGAAGAAAAAAAACCCTACAAATCAGTGGGCTGTGAATATCCTTGAATCTTTATTATTACTATCCTTCCACCCTTCTTTTTTCCTGTCCTGGCTGGAGAGCTTATTAAGGTGCATTTATAGTTAAACAGTAACTAAACAGTATCTGTTATTTCTCACATGAATAAAATAATCCTGAGGATTTTAGTATGTTTTTCCATCCTATGGTTATGAGAGCTATAGTATCCATTACTGGCCAAAAATGTGTTTTCACTCAGTGCCTTCTAAACCTGCTTCCCAATGTAGGTACATTTTTGTTTCAGCTCTCCATTATTTTAAGCCTCATGATTTTTAGTTGGAGTAAACTTCACTTGGGTGTTTGGGTGTAAACTTCGTTCTTAAATCTCAAATAAATATATATATATAGAAATAAAATATAATATTACTTTGTTTCAAACCAGAAGCAATTAGGATCAAAGTAGCAAGTTAGCTGCATTTTTCAATGTAAGCTCTTCCTTGAAATTAAAAACAGGGAATAAACGCAAGCTAAAAAGTCTTGTCACTTAATATCTCAAGATAATAGAAACTTGCAGTTATTTAAAAAGGCTAGCTAAGAACTCAAATCTGAGCTCATAAAAGCAGAAACAATACCGTAATGGAGAAAATCCCTTTCTTTAGCCAAATCTTCCTCCGCAGAGAAAGTACTCAAACAATTAAGTATCATAAGCATTAGAAATATGTAAAGTTTTTTTTAAAAAAACAAACAACAACAAAAAATGCCAACACATGGAATAGCTTTTTAGAAAATTTACTTTTAGAAAAATGGAAACTATTTTCTCTAGTATAATTAGTATCAACAAGCCCATCAATATTTACAGCAAATTGCCAACATTCATAGAAGATATGAAATGACAAGCATTAAGCCCTGATTAATTACTGTTGATATATTTCTGTGATCAAGACACAATTTCTTATGAAACATTTAAAACTATAAATACTTACTGTAATGTAAATGGCTTTGCAAAGAACAAAAAAGAAAGCACAATTGTCATTGCTTTTCTTCCTGTTGTTACTGCAAAGGAAAACAAATATTTAAGAATTCAGTTGCAGCAACAGAACACAATATACGCTTCAGTATTAGCAGGTAACCTTGTTACATAATTGTCTGGTTAAAACAACGATCACCCTTGGTGCATACACTGCAAACGCAGTGCTAGAACCCTACACTGTTTGAAAACAAGGACAGTGTGACAGCAGTATCACCCCAGCCACACAGTCTGCAGCAAAAAAACTTCCAAAACGAGATTTGCTCTTGAATAACTTCATGCTAATCAATTCACAGTCTCTCAAAGCAACAAACAACCCTTGCAACTATCTGATGGTATAAACTAATCTGTTAAAGCTTAGATACAACAATTCTCTTGCCATTTCTGCCTCACGTTATCAAAGTTCAGCAGTGTTTTGGGCCCTGTTTTTAAGTGGAATGAGATTATCATCTCATCGTTCCTTTGAAATTACTATAAATTTACCTAACAGTGCAGGGAAATACAATTTTAGTTAGAAACCTAAAAAGAAAAGGATGTGTGACTTCAAGGACTGCATTTTCCTCAAAACCATTAAAAGATCCTCTTCTACATGTAACCTGATCACTAGAAAAAAAACCCAAAGTAGTAAGAAGAGTGAAGAACATAATCCTGTTTCCAAAATGGCAGTAAACTCTTCAGTTACTCTCAAATTAATGCCAGTTCCAACAATTATTTGAACAATTTCCATGCTATCTGCTACGAAAAAGGATACACCAAATTGAGCACTGGGTAGCATATACAGTTTATCAAAAAATTTATAGAAAATGTTTTAAAACAAAGTAGCAATGCAGCCAGGCACACAAGTTTAGCTGTGGAGCTAAAGGGCCTGAGAAGGTGTTATTCTATATGATAGCACAGGATTCTCATGTGAGAAAGATCCCAGTAGGCCTGCACCTAAAGTGTATGATTTTTACTAACAGAAAATATTGTGCTTACCATGAGATACTTTTCACTATAACATACTGGAAAGTCTTACCTGTATAAGTAAGACTTGTATAACATCCAAGTTAGTCATACTGCAACATAGTGGCAAAAGGTACCAATGACTACTGAGGTATATTTCATGCTGCTATGGCTGGTAAAGCAAGTTTCATTCTTCCCAACTCTCCCCCACAAACAAATATTTACTTAATAGTATGTTTTGTAGGTGAAAAAACAGACTTCACTACTGCTTCATCTGCTCCAATCTCAACTTTTTTGGTAATTTTAGTAATTTTTAGTAATTTTCTTTACATTTTAAGAAATTTATGCACATCAAATAAAATGATTTCCTATTACATAAAATATTAAAGGAGAATGAAAAAGAAAATTGAGTTTTAATTAGAAAACAGTTTACAGATGAATAATTTAAAAAATGGTTAAATTACTTCAGTTTTTCTAATTACAATTATTTCTGTTCTTTCAAATCAGTTATTAATTAAAATATTTATGTAACCATTTCCTTCTAATTTAAGTGCCTTTTCTTCTTTTTCCCAATTAAGTCTGATAATTTCTCATTCTGCTAATAGAAATACAATTTTCATTAAACTCTTTCACCCCACTCCCCCCAAGAAGGGGGAGAGTGGATGGGGGAGGTGGGAGGGACAGTAATGAATGTAGCGTTCATTGTGGCACAATAAACATTTTCACATTGCTACAGGCAAGACAGAAAGGGCTCAAGTGTTAGAATTGTCAAGGTCAGGCATAGGAAAACCTGGGAAAGGTTTGCTATTCCACAGCATCTTTAACATTTTTTAGTACCGTGAGATCTTTTTTTTCTTTTTTTTTTTAAAAGCTATTTTAATACATGAACCAACCCTCTCATCTAGGTCAATTTCCAGTCAGGAGACCTACTGAACATTGTTAAAAACAAATGTGAGACAGGCATGCTGCAGAGGAAATAACTGATAGGAAATCAGAGCATGCAATCCTCAGGTCAGAAAACAATGTTTTCAACTCCACTACTGTGAGCGAATTAGAGCATCACCTGACAGAAACCAGGGGTTTCTCTTAGGGGTAGGAGGAAGAAAAGAAAGTAGCTACATGGCATCTTGCTACACCTTACCCCCATAAGTGACTAATGTTTGTAGCTTCATGCACTTAGAAACAATGTCACTGCCTACTGTGCCTTTCTGGGATATCCTTACTTTTCCTTCCAGGTTTCAAATGATACATGTCTTTTCCTTACACTCTGCTACATTTTCCCATGAAGGCAGGTTGAGAGAGTTGGGGTTGTTCAGTCTGGAGAAGAGAAGGCTCTGGGAAGACCTTATAGCAGCCTTCCAATACCTAAGGGAGGCTTGAAGGAGAGCTGGAGAAGGACTTTTTACAAGGGCATGTAGTGATAGGACAAGGGGGAATGGTTTTAAACCGAAGGAGAATAGGTTTGGATCAGATATTAGGAAAAATTCTTTACTGTCAGAATGGTGAGACACAGGTTGCCCACAGAAACTGTGTCTGCCTCATCCCTGAAAGTGTTAAGGGCCAGGTTGGATGGGCCTTTTGAGCAAACTGGTCTAGTGGAAGGTACCCTTGCCCATGGCAGAAGTTTTGGACCTAGATGTCCTTTGAAGTTCCTTCCAGTGTAAGCCATTCTGTGATTCTATTTCAGTTTTTTGGTTTAGAACAGTGTTGTTTATTTCTGCACTAAAACAAAGCACAGGCTATATGCACAAGTTTACCACAAGGCTCTTCAAGGTTGAGACTGTGGCACAAAAAGAACCAGGGAGCTCTCAAACACATTCTGCTAGTGAAGATCCATGCTACAGAAATCAGCCAGCACAAAGAACAGACAAAAAGCCAGAGAAAGAACAATTCTCAAAAGCTCTGTCCTAAATAATAGAATAGGATTACTCTGTTTTTATACAAAAGCAGAAAAGATATCATTTGTTCATACCTGTTACAGCGAGAAGGGCACCAAAGATTTTAATCAAAGCTAGAACAAAGGATATGCCAAAATACCCAGTCAGGGAGAAAAGGAATGCATAACCGTAAGTCTGAACTAGATGCTGCAACAATAAAAAAAGCCGGTTAGGAAAATATAAAACAAACCCTGAGGTATTGCCAAATGACATAAAACTACAGACTTTAATCAACTGCTTGAGCAATAATAAGCTGTTTAACAATGCATTCATGCAAAAATCCTTATTTAATTTTTGTTAAATAATGGAATAATAATAATGAAATTAAAAGCTCATAAGTCTGACCCTGTGATTTTGTTGCTTTTTAAAACATTACCCTATCTTATACATCAAAGACTGGAAAAACTTCCTTAACATATGAATTATACAAGTTAACCAGTTTACATGATGAAAATAAGACGTTAGGGAGAGAAGTGGTGGGATTTTCCAAACCATACAGAAGAAGGTTTTCTTAGAGAAAAAGAAATCTTTACACCTACCTTTGAGCAAAATGTTACTGCAGGGCTTAATCCACTAGTGCATGTTAATCCAAATAAAATATACACAAAACCTATTGAATAGGAATACAAAACCTAGAACAGTGTAAGAGAAAATAATTACCAGGTGATACTATACAAAAGGATAAAATTAAATGCTTTCAAATGCTTGGCCCTGCTAATATGCTCAGCTTCTCAGAGCTGAATTTGCAGCCTTTGAAGATATTTTTACTAGGATTTCTATAATAGTTGATGTACAGTGAAAAGTCAATAATAATAACATTCTTCCTACCCACAACAACATAAAAGAAGTTTGGAAAGCTAGTCAGTTAATAATATCCTGAGGTCAGTGTCAACTGTGGTAAATCCTTCAAGTTCAGGATTTCACAGCCTAAATAAAACTTCACACAACTATTTAGTTTAATAGTCTGAATAACACGTTAAACTTATTTCATTTTCCACTACTTATCCGGCACAGTAAAGATCCGTATTCCCTTAAAAGTGCAAAGGGTAGCACAGAATCACCATGAGCTGCCAGAAGTGTCACATTAGTTTCAGCTGTGTCACTTCTGTTCACATACATACCACACGTCTCATGGTTATAGGGCATAGGATTTTCAAATGTGACCAGCTCTGGCCCAGTTCAGCACTTGGAATCCTCAGCAAACAGGTAGGCTCTTTATTTTGTCTGCATCCTTATTTAATTCATAGTTTCACAGACCAACAAAAGAATCTTCACCCTATCCTTTCCCACACTGAGTCAACAGAATTAGACGCTGGAACTGCTCATCCACACATTCTCTCATGCAGCGGGAGGCATTGAAGCTGTTTGTGCAACATTTAGTAGCCTTTTGTTATGAAAACAGAAGACAGCAAACAGAACTGTTCTACACAGTATTACCTAGAATATGGTGATTGTGCTTTCAAGACTCATTGTCAAGAACAGGCCTACTTCTTTTGACATAGGTTTCATCAATTGTTTTCTTGTTACAATATTCTCAATTATTTGGAAAATAAATCTATTAACAGTTGTTAGCAATGTCACGAGACAACAGAACACTTATCACTGCTTTACAATAAAGGAGGATGAATATATGTTTAAAGAGCAGACCTGCTTTTATTTGACACTGTTTATACACACAGAAGTCAGTCCCTAGTTCTTCACTTGCCTCTGCATTCAACTTTTCTCCCAAACTGCTGTAAGACCTCCCTTTCCACAACCAGGAATGAGCCCCACATTGCTATCTCCTCGTTAGACAGGGTGACATAAAACACACAAGACAAAAATCAGGTATAATCTTTGAGAACAGCAGTTACAATTTCAGCCACAAGATATCTTTTCTCTTTTCATAACTGCTTAAATCCAGGGCAATTTCCAAATTTGACAATGAAACAGAGATCCTGTGAATGACAGGTTTCTTTACCATTCAATTTTATTTCCAGATCACTGTCCATTAAACATGATCTCTGATTCAGATGCAGTTTTTACCCCTAGTCTCAAGTACAGAGTATGACTTCTAAAATTCTGCTTGTACTTCTGCACTGAATTCTCTAAACAAAATCCTGTAGTGTAATCTCTAAGCCTCAAACAAACAAAACCTTTACATCCTTAATCATTACACTCATCCTCTACAAGTAGTATAAAATACCAGGACCAACATTTGTTAGACTAATGCAGAGTAAAAGTAAAGTCCTGGAGGTATCAGGAGTTTCATAGGTAAGGCAGCAATAACTGTCAGACAACTGCTGGGGAAGATGCAAAGTGGGCAAGAAAAGGGGGCAGATTGTACTTTAGTTGGGATTTTGGTTTGACAGCTACAGGAAGCTGCACTGGGCAGTAAAGGTCCATGTAGCTAAAATCTCTGCCTTCAGCAGCAGTCAACAGTGAATACTAAGAAAAAGTACAAAGAAAAAAACAAGAATACAGTGACACTTCTAGGTATATATTCTTCCATTTTTCAGACACTTGTAGCTCAAATGTCTTGAGCCATCCCAAATCACTTTCAGCCCTAAACAAAGATTTCTTTTATCTAACTTTTTCTCCATTTATGAAGCTATGTTCATAATGAGAAACTAGATCTTCTAGTTAAATGTCAAATAATGTGCCAAATATGGAAAATAAATTCCAGTAACTTTTTACTTGTGGCATATTCAAATCGTGCCTATTATAATAAAAGATTTACTGGACTTCACAGGAAAATATGACAAATTCAAACGTAAGTTTTGTCAAAAAAGAAAAATAACCTCAGATCATATGAAAAGATAATCCATATTCCAAGTAAGTATATAAAAAATGCTGAGCAAGACTTTTGCAAAATTATGTATTTCACTGAGTCAGGAACACACATACTCACCCATTCTAAAAGTCAGAGTTTTACAGATTTCAAAAGATTCAGAAAAGGCTAGCACACTCTAGAATTGGAAGTCTGGTAAGTGAGAAAAGTGACATGTTCCATATAACACATGCTCAACTATACCAGAAGTACAGTATATATTTTTCAGAGATTAAGCACATGATCATAGAGAAAACACTCCGTTGATTTCAGGCCTGCAGGGTAGACAAAGGAATTGTTGCCAGAAATGAGTGTTTCTGTAGCTGCAAGATACATTTGAAGTTGCACACAGAAAGCAGCACTCTTGAAAGGTTGAAAAACGAAACAAAAAAACACCTAAAGTCCCCAAAGAAACAAGTAGAGAACCCCAAGAATAGTACACCAAGAGCTTTTTCTTTCATAAGCAAGAGAAAAGCATATCAAGTTTCATATTTTGTCATTGTAGGCCTTGTCTATGATAGATCATATTCTTTTAAAATTGCAAATCTGGTATTTACCATTTCTGAATTAGAACCATTGTGCAACTTCATAGCTTTTTCCTGTACATTTCCTATAACTGCATCTGCGCAGAGGGCAAGGGATATTAGGACCACACCTAATACAAGAAAACAAACAAAAACCTGTTCAGAATATTTATCATCAGAGTAGCGACAAAAACCACTCTGTACTCATCCTGAAAAAAAAAAATCTCAGGAATAGAAAAATAATGATACCCCCCCCTCTATAACTTATTCTAAATGTCAGCAAAAATATTTCATTATACCAGTACAAAACAGTGCCCACCTCCACTCCCTCCACTAGTTAACTCCTGAGCACTGTGTGTCTCTAAGCTTCATGGGAACATCTGGACACTGCTATAAAGAAGTCAGCTGTAGTTTTTGTAGTAACAAGAGTGAAAGAGTGTCCATTGCATTTAGTTAGGTATTTTCAATGAAGATAAATAACCAGAGAACATATTCTTTTTCAGTAGTTAATCCCCTATTATTTTTCTTCCTGACAAAGGCAAATAGAAACTTTAGATGTAATGGTAAAACAAATACAGGAGGATTCATAGTGGAAATCTCTAATTACTGAAATATTAGTTTAAAAAACACACTCTTTGGGTACAAACCCCATGGTTTTAGGTTACCATTTGTTTTTTGCTCAAAACAAAGTCACTACACAGTCAATAATGTAATCAGCTTTCCAATAACAAAAATAACCCTTTATCCATGTCAATCACAATTCATTTCCCAACCTCCAAACTCTGATTCTTTCATGACTGTTGTATTTAATGATCCACACAGGTTGAAATACCACTTTTCTAACTATCCATTACAAAAGATAATAATCATCAAAATCACATTTACTGTCTGCTCTAGCTTTGGTTCCTTAAAAGATCATGTCAGGCAAGGATCAGAAGTGGAAGACTACAAACAGGCAGTGTTACATTTTCTTAATGTGATGTTCTTACAATCAGAGGTCTCAAAAGAGGCATTCAGAAGAAGTATAAGCTCCTGATAGAGGAAAAAAAAAAATCCTAGTTCCTAGGATTTTCAGAAATGGAAGATTTAACATCTTTAAGACACATGAAGCATTTCCTTGGCAAACTTCTTAAGATATGAGAACTTCTAAACCCATCATTTTTGTTTTGGGAACCATTTCCTTTCCATGCTAGACTTTTTAGGTCTCTTCATCACTCAAAGTCATCAGGCCTTGAAAAAGGTGTGACTCAATGGAAAACCCACGATAGCATGAATAATATTGGTTATGCTAAAGATATAGATATCTCATCTGCATGGATTCAGGCCTGATCCAAAGATATAATAACACCTGCAGATCACTTCTGTAAAGTGACAGAGCATGTCTAATCTGTGTTTTCCATCATGCTTGTTCCAGCAGTGTTTAAGGGCCCGGCACACCACTGGACAAATGTATGGGTTCAGTACTGGACCAAGATGAAAAGGTTACCTGGAATCTGAAGCACAGGCGTGCACAGGGAGGAAAAATGTGGGGACAAGACAAATGTTAGTCTTATGTCCTTACACAGGCTGGAGAGTAAGGGGAGCTGTTCCATTCACTGTGGTAGTGCTGCACCTGCTGAGCAGCAGCAGCAGCAGCAGCAGCAGCAAAACCACGAACGAGATCAGCAGTGTTATCCAGCATGTAAAGCATGAGTAAAGATAACTGGAAAACCTGGTCCTAAATCAGTTCTGACAGAAACCCACATGGAAACAGTTCTAAATAAATCACTGGAATGATGAACTCAGGAATTGCCATTTTAGAAAGAAATTCAACTAAGCTTTTAAACCCAAGCAGGTTAAAATCTTCACTTTGCTTCTTTTAGACAGTGTAAAAAACTCGGAATGTGGGCACTCCACCTAAAAACTAGAGCAAAACTGAGTGAGATCTTCAATTAACATAAAGTAAATGGTTCTGAAATGGAAGAAGACTTAAAAGTTTAACTAGAAAAGACAATTAATCATTTGAAGTTTTAAAATAGTCCAACTGAATTTTATCATAATCATTTTAATATTATTTACTGGGGTAATTATTTCTTGAGAACATTCATGAGACATTTCAAACAAAAGTGTGGGATTTCTAGAAATTTTAGGAACCTAAAAACTTAACGCTTGGAATAAAGGTCTCTTCTGCCACAGATAGGAGTTCTGCTAGTGCAAAGTTACAATGAAACTTGCAATTTCTGTACAATATCCGAAGGCACTCCACCAAGAACTCACAGAACTTCTATGGAATGTTTATTGCAGGAAAAAAACAAGCACTTTCCTAAACTCTAAAATATAATACATCTTTACCTGTCAAGTTGAAGTTTGGTGCAACTGTGCTGTCAGCTAAAGTAAACCATATTAATCCAAGACTCATACATAGGGCAGCAGACACATCTACAATGTTATAACGTTTTCCTACAAAAGCAATATAAACAGCAAGAAAGGACTGTTAGCACTCTCAGAATTTCATGTTTATCCTGTTTAACAGACTAAAAGGCAAAGGAAACACTGTTCCAACTCTTTTACTTGAACAGAGGACTTAATGCTCTGGTCTTTCATGAATGGAATTAGTTTCTGCTGCAACAGCAGTTCCTAACATGGAGGAGGATCCTAACAGGTAGCATCGGATGCTTTTGGTCAGTTTTGGTTTGACTCCTAACGACATAACGCATGCCCTCCCCAAAAGCATTCTTATTAGCAACTTCAGGACAGCTTAGATGTTTTCTTCATACTTTCCCCTCATGCAAGACATTTCAGCTGTCTTTACTGATCAGAAAGAAGCCAAATCCAGACACTAACAGATGACTGGTACTTCTAGAACCCTAATGTCTTTTAGTTTGGGAAAGATGAGATGTGGAGGGGAACAGAAAAACAGAGTAAGGAAATAAAAGGCAGGAGTTAGTGTATCTTGTTGAAATAATATATTCCTTTTGCAGAAGCTGTACTTTCAGTATGAGCTTCCAAGGGAGTTTTTTTGAACTAATTTCTTTTTTTTTATAATAATATTAAAAAAATAAAATCACAGTTTCTGATACTACTACAACACAATATAAAGTTTCCAAAAGCTTTAAGAGAACACCAGTCATTTTGCATTAAAATGATACAAAATTCCTCCTAATAAAAGGTAAATACTGTATCTGCATATGCATATGTAAAGTTCTAACCTTCTCTGAAAATTTAGCTTTCTTTTGCAACCAGAAGGCCAGAATTAATTACAGAAACAGAAATACAGCATTCTAGATTTTGCTCCATAATACTCGCCCATGTGGAGCTTTACTCATTGAATCTTTGTGCACTGAACAAACAAACTTTTATATTTGTCCTCTAAATCCAGAAATACCGAGGTATATTTTTTCACTTAACTATAACCTTTATCTGTTTTTCTCCAGATCCCTTTTTCTCTTCTTGGAATATGAACTATGACTTTAGGACTAGCCAAACATTCAATCAAAATTTAGGAATTTTTATCAGGAATTTAGGGATTAAGATCTGCAAACAAGAAGAGTAAGGGATTTCTTCACAAGTCATGGCTAGATTTTTTTCCATTTCAAGTTTTCCATTTCAGTATTGAAGGTGTTTCATATATGATGTGATTTGGCTTATAAAACAAAGTAACATTTCTTAAAAATTAAGAAAGCTTGCGTAAAAGTGAAGTTTTGTAAGCGACCCGTAGAACAGTTTTCTCCCACATTTTCTGTTCATCCAATTATATTTTCTGAGAAGATGCTTCAGAAATTCTCATTTTTTTCTCTCCATAGAAAAAACAGTACCGGTGGAATTTAATGAAGTACAGGTTTCCATATATAATTGCCTCCAAAGAAACAATAAAAAAATTAATCTAAAAGCAAGACTAACACTTACCTTGTATAAAAACCCCGCCTATCATTACTGGAATGAGTTTACAGCACTTGAAGATGACTTGAGTAGGGTAATTCAGATATCCTAAAGAGGTATTTGACAAACCCATAGTTCCCACTGTCAAAAACGCTATAATCATGTAGGTTTTGCCAGGAATTCTATAAAATATAAACACAGGAATCTTGGTGTTGCAGACTCATCTGGAGGAGATTTAGCTTGGAAAATTTAGATAAAGAAATACATTTGTAATACAGCTTCAACATCTTTCTCACTGAATTTCAATTCATAACAGAAATTTTGAGATGTACATAAATGTCTGATTTCATATTTCATTTCTTACAATTACTGCAAATAAACAGCAATCAAATACAAGACAATAAAAACTTCATGGCTCATGGAATATTCAAGCGGTAATTCTTTAACCTTCTTTAGAGAAGGTATATTGTTTACACATGAATCAAGACAAGGGCTTCAGGTTATTTGTCAAGGGGAACACAGAAGATTTGTATACCAAGATATCCTAAATCTCAGTCCTGTCAGGTCACTGTGCCAATTTTTCTGGTGACGTTTTCACATGAACCTTGACACTTTTAAAATGAAGAAAGTTGAAAAAAGTTCCATTGCTTTATGAAACTCAGCAAAACTAAGAGAGCAGTGATTCAGTTACTGTGAACAGAGGGGTTTGTTGAACATTTTCAGATGTTTTGTTCACAATTTTATGAAATTATCACCTGACAGCAGATGATCCAACAGTAATTTTTAGCAATCGCTGTGCTCACTTTGTGATTTTTTACAGTTACTGATGTACATATGTTCAGCGTTTTTTAATGCATACTCAGAGACACATTAAGCAATATAAGGAGCTGTATTGCTGGAATCCTGTTTTATCCGTAACTCATTACGTGATGCAGACATACTGTGAGGCATGCAAGAAAAATTTAAAATTTAACAGACTTCTGCATGTCTACAAGAAGATGGCTAGGTGATAAAAAATAAAATGTAAAATATATTTAAAATCTATATTTCCAACACAACTTACTTAAAGGGTCATGCTCTGTAAGCATTATCAATTATTTGGTAATAAAAACCTAAATAATAGTAACAGAACACCCAAAAGGGAACTATGCAATATTATCTGATGCATCTGAGAAAGTCAGATAACCTGAAATATAAGCTGTCAGTGTTTAAAATAAAAGGAATAGCTTATCAAGATTATGTTATTTGGATACAATGGAATTCTATAAGCTAAAATCCGTTTTTGCAAAATAATCCAAGGTTGACTATGGGTAAGGAAAACTACTTATGCTCAACTAGGATATAAGGCAATCTTAAAATTTATGTACATCAGGTCGAGCAGCCTCTGTTCAACCCTCCAGAGGGCCTCAATATACAGTTTTCAGAGGCTGTAGTGGGTAGGAAGCCACAGAATGGCCACACTGAGGCAGAACAGCCTATCCCTTACCCATAGGAGTCAAACCAACAAAAATGTCCCTGGTCGACTGCAGTGCAAACACAAGAGAGTTTTGTGGCAGGGTGTTATGAGTGCTATCTTAAATGAAAAACACAAAACCTCAGCACATCCTTTGATGCAAACCTACCCAGCCACACAGTGAACAGACAGCAGAGCTCTGATACTCTCCAAGATGCACAGCATGCTGGAGGAACCTTTTGGTGAGGAGGTGCGAATATTTGAGGAGAACATATTCAATGACAGATGGCTTCAAATGCATTGGCTCTATTCTACACGTGATGATCCCAAGCAACACATACATGAGTCAGTCTCTATCAGATACCTTAAGGATTCAATATGCTCTGTAAGTGGGACAGAGTGTCAGGAGAGTCAACAAAAATACCTGCAGGTCTGAAATCTAAGTGGGTGCTTATAAAACATTTTCTAACATTGTCCAGCAAATTCACTTTTATGGAACTGCTACCGATGCCTCACAGTACTCATATTCAAACAACAGAAGTTAAATTTACTATGAATGTAAAATGATTCTAACTTGATGGACAGTGGGTAGAATGCCTGGAAAAACACATACCTTCTCCTTTTGTCCTGAATCAACTGCAATTCTATTAGTCCAAAAATGGAATAAAATCCAAATTGCACTAAAGTGAGGTACCAACCAAAAGGTTTAAAACCTTCCACTGAAAATATCAATTCCTATAAAAACAAAAACCCATCAAGGTCATGTACATACATCAAAATATTGAATTGATAAAAAAATCAACAGAGCTTTTTCCTTCACATACATGCAAATCTAGTCTTTGCACCTGCCACACATAACTTGCAAGTAGTGAAAAAGATAATTTAGGTTTCCAAAATGCAAGAAGAAAATTTACTGCTGGTGTAAATACACTGAAATTAATGGATCAATTCATTGGGGGAATACATCTGATCCATTCATATTTATATCAAATTACAGAGGGCTTCCTGTCTCCTTTTCTCTCACTTTTTCTCAGTGCATTTTCATCAGTAGAAGATTTTACTTGTTTTTATCTTTTTTATTTTATTTATAAATATCTTGTAATAAGTTAAATACAAACTTTCTCTAACAAAAATACTGATGTAATTTTCAACTCCTAGGAGTGCATACCTAATATTCTGAGTGTCTACATTAAATAGCACTTGTGAGTGTATAAATTTGCAGGTTGCAGGAATATTTTAAACCAGAATAATTTGTTATGGAAAAATACATGCAATGCATAAAGATTTTTGCAGATGTGTCAGCTAGAGAAACAAAAGGCTACCTAATATTTTCCTTTTTGAGATTCTGCTTTCAATTACTGATAATGTTGTCTAACTCTTTCAAATTAACTTTATATTAAAAATATAAAACTTTATTATATTTACTGATATATGTTTTATATATATTATATTTTTATATATTATATATTATATATTTAAAGATTTATATTTAGCTGCTTTTGAAAACTGCATTGGAAACAGGGTGATTTTTAATTATCAACCTTTAAAATCACTGTTTTACTGAGAATGCTCGATAAACTCAAACATAACTAAAAAAAGGGAACCGAAATGTAGCTGTTCAAGATAAAAGAGAAAAGGTTAACAGAAAGTTAAATGTTTAACTAAAATTACATAAACATTATGCTTCCGCTAAAGAAACTACCACAGTACATTTCAGCTCTGTTCTGAGACTAGAGAGAGAAAAATAAGAGAACTATGACTCTACAGCACTCATGGAACTTTGAGAGCTCTAAAGGTTTCAAGACCAATGAAGACTTAAGTTTATCTTGCACAAGGGAGTAAAAGACCAAGTTAAGAAAGTCCAAGTGATCTAAAACTTGCAGGCACATGAACTATAAGGAAACTCACATTATACAATTACTTGATGCTCTTGAATACTGAAAGCTTGACTTGGCAATAATATCTAGTTTAAACATCTATACATATTAAAATACATACTATATTATTATGGTATTGAAAAAAAAAGGAGTAGGAGGAATTTGCCTAAGACATGAGTACACAGCATTTACCTGTAAATATCCATAGATTAGATAAAACATAAAAACTCCAGAAACACAGATGAAAAATTGAGTAGGTTTGTTAAATCTGCTGAGATTCATGCCAAGAACTACGACATCATCCACTGATTTGATATGAGGAGACATAGTTTGAGATTTGGAAGGTACACTGATGGAAATGTATTTTCTTGATGAAGCGAATTTCAGATCCATGGTTCCTGGCTCGCTGCATTCGATGCTACTGTTATTCTCTTTCTGCTTTTCTCTTTCTGTGTGTCTTCTGTCTGAAAGCTGAAAGAAATGCTAAAGTCAGATAAGACATAAAATACAGCCCATCAACAACAGTAAATGAATGTGACATTTTCAGAGTAAATATAAAGATTTCAGAATTTTGCTGGATTGTTTCTATTAATAAATATGATGTCCAAAGTTAACGCCAGTCACTCTGTTAACACCAAAGTTAACACTTTACAAAAGAACTTTTGCTTCATGTGGGGAAGTCGTATTCTTGCACTCTAAGAAGCAACCAAACCAACGAACCAACCCCAAAATATCAGCAACAGAAAACCAGTTTCAGTTTCACAGCAGCTTTAAGTAGTCCTTTTATGCCAGTGTCACTCACAGGAGTGACTGCTTGGGAGAGAAGTGATCCCTATGACCAACTCACAATGGAAGAACTCATTTGAAGCACTATGGTTCTGCCTACTATGCTTCATTTTCACAGCAAAACATACCAGACTAGACCACCACATTGGAAACCTTGCTAAAAACTACAGATTTGAGCCTAAGAATGATTAAAAGTGTTGAAGTCGAAGAAGTTATCTTGCCCCGCATTCTCACATTTATTCACTATTTCTCGCAACTTCTGCAGAAAAGAATGTGGAGATGAAAACAATCAGACTGAAAAGTCAGTCTCAGAAATACCACTGTTTATTTGATGAGGTCTGTGGTATGGCAATCCCTTTAATATTTACCACATACAGCTCTTGTCGTGTGTAACAGAAAACAAAAGTGGATCACAGAATCCCAGACAAGGAATTTAGCAGCTTAGTAAACTGAGATGCAAATAATTCTGTTCTCCAGACAGTATGATGTTTGAGGCTTTTTTCCTTTTGACCCTTAAGATGAACACAACGGTCAGTTAATTGTTCCAAGACTTTTAAGTGTTGGTCAGCATCCAGCACAGTGAGCAGTCAGTAATTAAGCTCTGTTTGTCTCAACTATTAAGTGGACTGTTTTCCCCAGCTCAAGAATAATTCTCATCACACATGTATAAACAATGCTTTTTCCATTGTTTTTAAACAGAAAATGTTCTAGCATATTAACACTAGATCATGCAATAAACGTAGTCTGCAGGGATGTTGCCAATTTATTATACAATATATTATACAAGAAATTACAATCTTAGCTGAAAAGTTAAGGACTAACATAAAACTTGCAATGTGCTTATGTTTTCCTTTTTTTCAGACAATCTACTATCAGGTTGGAACAAGACTCCTACTGGAGTTCTGAAAGAACAGGTTGGGGAGTATAACAGGGGTTTAGGAACCATAATAATTATTTGTGCTTAAATTCATAGCTCTTCAGTCGAAGATCAAAAGTGAGAGGTAGAAAGTTTACCCTTGTGGATTGTTAGCTTATCCTAAAATGAGGTGGCCATAAAAAAAAAAAAAAGGAAAAAAGTTTAAGTAGGTTATTTTTAATAAAAACAGAAAAGTATCAACGTCAGGCAATAAGGTATGAATGAGCCTTCATGTATAATATCACGGAGTTCTGATCACCCTCAAAGACACTGAAAGAACAACTAGAAAAAAAGGTTATCAGGATGGAAGAACAGATTGCCTGTCTTAGGAACTGAAATTAGATGATAGTGTTACTTGTCTAGCCTAGCAAAAGCCTGATGAAAAGAAAACAGACTTTCTTTCAATAAAATTATCAAGCGATTACCACGAAGGAAAAAAAAAATAATTCTAATTTTAAGGACAGTAGAATGAGAGCAAGTGGGCATACAGTGATCATGAACAAACTTACCTAAAACTACCTTTCCATCTCTAGACTATCTGCATTATAGAACAGCCTAAAAATGGAAGAAGGAACAACTGAACTGTTAAGGTGAAGCTTAAGAAAGCAATTATATAGAGCTGTTGAGAATGGGCATGATGACTGAGCCAGTGCCCTTTAATCTCGTGTTTATGGCATCCCAACACTATGGAAAGCAGAGTAGTAAAGGTGCCTGTAGAAGGTACTGGGCAATCCTATTTGATCACTAAACCCAGGACATGAAATACTACTCTCCCCAAACAATTGCAGGCAAAGTTAGGACTTCCAAGTTCAAGCCCAAAGAGCAATTTTCCATGAAGGAAATTAATATAGTTAAAAACCTATCCACTGTTGGCATCTCACCTCAACTTGTATTTTTGCTGATGCCTGTTCAGATCTTTCCTGTCCAGTGTACACTTCCTTTTGACAGTCACACTTTCTCAGCAGGAATAAGAGCTGTACAAGTAATATGAGCCTCATTTTTCACCTAAATTAAAACTGAGTATGACATATGCCCAGGAGAAGACACAGCCATGTACTGTCATGGGTGCTTCATGAATCCAAAAATTGAGTGAATTGTGTAATGCATTATTTTTATACCTACATTTTTCACTTTGACTACTAATCTAAATATTATTTGTGTTACCTGAGTTATCATCAGAAGAAGTAGAAACAGAGGGAAGAAGAAATAACAAGTGTATTTATGTGTTGTGTCTGGCTGAGATGGAGTCAATTTTCCTCAGAGCTGCTTGCATGATGCTGTGTTTCAGAACTGTGACCAAAATGATGCTGATAACACAGCAATGTTTTGGCAAGCAGGAGAGGGGGTACAACCAGACAGATGACCTGAACTAACCAGAGATATTCCAGGCTATAAATCCTCATGCCTGGCAATGAAAAGCAAGAGGAGGGGGTTCAGGGAGAGTGGCCAGCTTTTGCTCAGGAACTGAATGGGTGTTGATCTATCTATGGGAGAAGGGATTGCCTTTACCTGTTTTGGTTTGTGTCTCTTTGTCCATTTTTCCTCCATTTCTCAAACAATTTTTTTCTCAAACCATAAATTTTCTTTTTTACCCTTCCTTTCCTCTTCCCCCATCCCTCTGGGGTTAGTGAGGAAAGTAAGCAAGTGGCTGTGTACTGCTTAGCTGCCTAGTGGCACTAAACCACACAATTAACACAATCTTTTCAATTTTCAACTATTTATATTCAACATATTTCCTCAGGAATGCCATCAGATTTTACAATCTGTTCACTTAATTTCTTGCAGATGACTGAGTGTATCATCAAAGTAGTAAGAAACAATACTGATCACTCTAGTCACGCCCACGGCCATCCATAAAACAATGATACATAGTAATTGTTTTTCTCTACATCCTGCAAAAAACATTTCAAGGAACATTATTTAACAGCTGAAGAAACTGTAAATGTATGTATCCATTTGAAACACCCTCCACCAAGTAATTTCATTATCAACAGTGATAGAACTCTTCTGAAGTTCACTGTGACTTCTCAAACTGTTACTGTTCTAAATATGAAAAATGTTATCATCCTCCTCTCACCAAAATCCCTCAAGCAACTAATTCACCTCTTGAGCAAACAGGCAGCAAAAAGCTGTTGTATGAAGAGTCAAGTGGCGTAAGAGCTGTCCTGATGTGTGTAAAATACCAAATTCCCTCTTTTGTTTTCTTCCTCCTGTGTGTAAAATATGTAAACAACACATTCTTAAAATCAAAGACTTTGTTTCTTCCCCTCTAAAAAAAAGTCCCCTGCAGAGTAATATTGCAACAAAAAAAGAAACAAATGAACAAGTGACTAGACAAGAAAGGTTTCTCAAGAAAGGTGCCTCCAAAAGTTAACTTTTACCAAACATGGAAAAAACACTACGGAGGGGCTGGGGCTTTTTTTTTTTTTTTTTTCCACCTTGAAAAAGATAAATTGAAAACATAATGTTGGCAGAATCTAGCATCTCAGCACACTCAGAAAAACGCCCTTTCTGGGCCACGCAAGGCAAGTTCCACGTTGGCCCTGGCCATGATCCATTTCCTCTGGAAACACCGCCAGAAGCGCCCGGTGGCAGGACAGCAGCTGGCACAGCAACAGGGATGCTCCCGGGTAACAGGGACGAAAAGGCACATCTGTGTGGGAACCCGAAGGGCTACTTTGCTCCACGGCACCCGCCTCCTGCCCCGGAGGCAGAAGAGAGAAGGGAGACAAGGTCCATCACGATCCCTGACGCTTCCTCCTCCCGCCCGCCGAGCTGCCGGGGGCTGTCCCACGCCAGGTGCAGCCCTGCCCGAGCACCTGCCAGCTGTCCCGGGCAGGGCTGCCACCGAGGCTCTCCAGCCGCCACAGGCCGCCATTCCCAGCCCTTTCCCCCGGGAAAGGAACCGTCCCGCTGCCCGCGGAAGCCGCCGCCTCGGACCGGCCGCATCCCTCCCGCCGGCCACAGCCAGACTCCTGCCCCTCCGGTTCCTGCCCCAACCCCCGACACCCCTCACCGTCGCGCCCATGGCGCCCCGACACCAGGTGACGCTTCCCAGGAAGCGACCCCGCCTCCTTCCCGCTCGCCCCCCGTCCCTGAGGAAGGGAGGAACGGCCCCGCCCCCGTACCTGTCCGGCAGGCGAGGAGGGGCAGGGCGGCCCCGGCCAGCCGCCCCCCGCCGCCGCCGCCAGCCCGTGGCGCCCTCCCTGCCTGCCTCCCTCCCGCCGGGATCGCTCCCTGCTCCAGCGCCCCGCGCCGCAGGAAGTGGCCCCGGGAATGCGCCAGGCGCCGCCGCGAGCGGCGAGCACATCGAGGCAGAGCGGTTCGCTCGCTCGGCGTTCTGCTACCCGGCCTGGGGAGGGGCGGTGGCGGCGCCCCCGGCTCCCGCCCCCGTGTGGGCGGGGCCTTTGCAGGGACCGCCCACCGAGCCGGAGGGGCGGGGCCGGGCGGGGCTGCCGATCCCGGCTGGAATCGGCTGATTATGGGTGGTTTTTTTGGCGTACCCCTCGGGGCCGGCGAGGATCACAGGATCACAGAGTGGTTAGGGCTGGAAGGGACCTCCGAAAGTCATCCTGTCCAGTCCCCCCACCAGGCAAGGTCACCTAGAGCGGGTTATACAGGAATGTGTCCAGGTGGCTTTGGAATGTCTCCAGAGAGGGAGACTCACGACCTCCATGGGCAGCCTGTTCCAGCGCTCTGACACCCTCAGCGTAAAGAAGTTCTTCCTCATCTTGAGGTGGAGCTTCTCGTGTTTCAGTTTATGGCCGTTGCTCCTTGTCCTGTTGCTGGGCACCACTGAAAAGAGTCTGGCAACATCCTCTTGGCACCTGCCTGTGAGATACTTACATTTATATGCATTGGTGAGATCCCCTCAGTCTTCCACAGGCCCAGCTCCCAGTCTCTCCTCATAAGAGAGATGCTCCAGACCGCTCATCATCTTTGTGTCCCCCACTGGATCCTGTCCAGTATCTCCTTGTCTTTCTTGTACTGAGGAGCCAGATGTGACCTCACCAGGGCTGAGCAGAGGGGGAGGATCATCTCCCCTGACCTGCTGGTCACACTTCCCAGTGAACCCCAGGATGCCATCGGCCAATAACTTCACCATGTGCCCTGTCCCACCACAGCACAACAGGATGTGGAAAGGAGCCTGGGGCAGTGGGAAACCGGGAGGGCCTGAGGGGCTCCTTGCCTGCCTGCACCCCCTGTGGCCACCTGGACGGGGCACCGCAGTGACAGGGGCACGTGTGAAGGTGTCACTGGGCAGGTGTGAAGGTGTCACCTCCCTGCCCAGGTGTTGTTTGGTCAGCGCTGCTTCACGTCAGCCATGAGCAGGATCACCTTAATGCTCTGGAAAATGGGGGAAAGTAGCTCTGTGGAAATGGACCTGGGGGTCCTGGTGGACAACAAACTGTCCATGAGCCAGTGTGTCCTTGTGGCCAAGAAGGCCATTGGAATCCTGGGATCTATTAGGAAGAGCGTTGCCAGCAGGACAAGGGAGGTAGGTGATCGTGCCCCTCTATTCAGCCCTGGTGAGGACACATCTGGAGTGCTGTGTCCACTTCTGGGCTCCTTAGTAAAAGAGAGACATGGAGCAGGTCCAGTGGAGAGCAACAAGGGTAATTGGGGGACTGAAGCATCTTTCGTGATGAAAGGCTGCAGGAGTTGGGCTTGTTCAGCCTTGAGAAGAGATGACAGAGAGGGGACCTCATTAATATGTGTAAATATCTAAAGGGTGGGTGCCAAGAAGATGGAACCAGGCTCTTCTTGGTGGTGCTAACCTCTAGGACAAGAGGCAGTGGGCAGAAACTGATGCACAGGAATCAGTATGAAGAAGAAATTCATATGAATATGAAGAAGAAATTCTTTGCTGTGCAGATGACCACACACTGGAACAGACGGCTCAGAGATGTTGTGAAGTCTCCATCACTGGAAATACCCAAGAACCATCTGGATGCAATCCTGTGTCATGTGCTCTAGCATGACCCTTCCTAAACAGGGAGGTTGGACCAGATGACCCCACTTTGGTGTCTTCCAACCTGACTGATCCTGTGATTCTGTTAAAAGCCCCAGGAGAAGGTGATTGTTTCATGCTGCAGTGAAATCAAGACTGTTTAGAATCCTTGACAGGTTTTGTTCTGGGGTTTGGTTGATGCTCTGCTGCTCTGATCTGTGTGGTGGAGCACCCATGCAAAGCTACTGCCTTAATAAAAAATGGCAAAAATGTATTGCCGGGGAGGCCTTCTTGTGATCCATATGTGTGAGGCTGCAGGTAGGAAATAATAAAGGTATTTAATAATGACAAGCAAAAAGGTAAATGAGAGCAATAACAGCAGAATGCAGAGAGAGCATAATGGCCAAAGGAATCAGACAAAGAGCTGGGAAGAAAGGTAGATAAAGGCCTTTTTTTGAAAGTGTGCAAATGAGATGTAACTTGAAGATACATAAAATCTAGTTACTGTTAATCATGTCAGGGTATTAAATGGCAGTGCTGTGTTTTCTGTAACAATACGCAGAACTATTTAACTTTATACATAAGCACTACAGGACAACAGATATGTGTTTAGGGAATTCAAGCTTTTATGTTTTTACAGTGTTTTAAAAGTTTTCCTTTACCTTTTCCAGTGCCAGCACAGTGAATCAGTATGTATTCTAGATACTAGCAACAAGTGCACCAGCATTTAAAATAATATTTTTAAGGATATCTGTTAAATGACAAGCATCAAAATGTGTAGTTTGGGTTGACTTAAAAAAAACTCAAAAAAAAAAAAAAAAACAAACAAAAACAAATAAAAATTTGAACACCCTCTAACCTTTCATCAAAATAGCTGTTTCTGAAAAAGGGAATTGTTGAGAAAAATACTTGGTGGCATCTTCTTGAGAAGTTCTTGGTTTGGATTTCCTTTACCTGGGTTGAGGAATTTCAGACTTAGCAAACATTGTGGTTTTTTGCAACAATACAGATGGTGCTTTTGTCTGTCTCAGTGATAGAAGTAATGACCCCAGTCATTCAAGTAAATATATTCAAGCTTGCACGTGACCAGCTGGCATCTCCTAGCTTCCTTTAAGTTCTCTAGATACATCATTGGTAATAAATCTTACTGTTATGGATGTAAGTGGAGCAATTACACAGGAAATTCCTCCTGAACATGAGGAAGAACTTCTTTACTGTGCAGGTGACCAAGCACTGGAACAGATTGCCCAGAGAGGTTGTGGAGTCTCCCTCACTGCAGATATTCAAACGTTGTCTGGACACAATCCTGAGTAACATGTTCTAGGGGACTCTGCTTGAGCAGAGAGGTTGGACCAGATGACCTCCGGTGGTCCCTTCCAACCTTACCCGTTTTGTGACTCTGTGATTGTGCCTTGATGACTCAGAAGCAGGCAGAAAGCAGGAAAAAGCAAACTACACCACTAAATTGAATTGACTAAGTAACCTTTAACTGGATAGCAGGAACCTGGCTTTGTGAGGCTCTTGACTAATAAGAGTGCTGAGGAGAGACCCCCTGGCAGAAGTGGTCCGATATTGCCTAATGTCTGAGACTTGTGCATATCTTGTAATTTTTTTTTTTTAATTCAGAAAATTAGAAATTCTTCTATTTCTATTATCCATATTCCATCATTCAAACTGGAGAAAGTGTAGAGTGGGGTGTATGCTGGAGAATGTTCTCTTTAAATAAAGCAGAAGAGTAAATGATGAGTAGGATGTTTACTATTGATCTCACAGATGCTTTTGCAGTCTGCAATATGAACACGTATGGATTACTGGTAAAGCTGGAAAGCAAATTACATTTTCTTTTATCGCTTGTAAAAATGAAGTTAGGGCTTATGAAAGGTACTGGATTCAGGCTCTGGGGACTTAACTTCTCTGTTTATCCAGGAAATAGATATTGTACATCACAAGCAGAGGCAGTAGAAGTATTAAAGATCTCAAAGTTCTCACACTGTCTGTCTGTACTTCTCCTTCTTGACCAACTCAAGGTACCAGTGGGGAAGCTCAGTCTGTGCACAAACTTAATCCTATGCTTTAATTATGGAATATGTAAGTGAAGGTACACAATAATGCTGTTGGCTGAAGTTTTATTGACAAGAGCTTTTGTTCACTACAGTCCAATTTAGAAATGCCAACTTCGTAATAGGCTTTGTTGCCTTTTGTGTCTAGCTTAGATTGCTTTCCTGCTTCTTTGACTATGAGCATTTCTAATTTTCAGCGGTGAAATGGTACCCACGTACCCATGCCCTATATAGCAGGTTGAGAATTAACCAGAACAAAGGTGTTAGGCATTTCTTGTTAGTGGAAGGGTGCACAAATAAGGAATATTTATAACAGGTGGGCATTTTGCATTTTGCTGATGGGTTATGGACAGTAATATCTTTGTGGCATAGTGTGTATTCCTATTAAGAATTTAAAGGAGTAAAAAATATTTCCTGTGTGTGCAAATATTACCCAATCAGGTATGTTTCCCCATGAAACATGTGCATAGGTGTGACATGTGCGTTAATGACACAAGTATCCACAAATATATAACCTGGGTGATAAGTAAATGAAGTTAATGAAGCAGAACAATGAGGGGTTTTGTTATAGTTCAGCATGAAAGGCAAATTAATACCATTTTCAGATGCTTGAAGCCACCCTCTCAGATCTGCATCTTATTGGTATAAATAATTTTAGAATCTGCTATGTTGAATAAATCATGACATATGCAAATGAGGATGCAGTTTGCGAGTCTTGAAACAGCTAAAACCAATGTAATTTACTGGTTTAATGACTTTACCAAAAATGGGAATTGCATGCAAAGCAGCCAATTTTTTTCTGTGAAGATGTTTTTGGGATTTACATTTGAGACAAATAAGTATCACATGTAATGTGTGAAAGTGCATTTTGGATTCATAACCAGTCATCCACTGAGTTAGTGGGAGTTAAATGAACCTAGAAACTTGGTTGACAAAAAGAAGAGCATCTGTTTACCTCTGTAGCATGGGGAAGAGGGGGAAAAACAATAGTTCTCCTCTGTTGACAAATATAATGATG